TCATCATGTTGGATCAATTTTAAGGTATTTGTTCAGGTTTTAGCCATTTGGATGGATGGATGGATGGATGGATGGATGATACATGGATGGATGGATGGATGGATGGATGGATGGATGATAGATAGATAGATAGATAGATAGATAGATAGATAGATAGATAGATAGATAGATAGATATGAACTCCTTCAGACTATGAATTACATTTTTTTTCTGCCACACAGTCGCAGGCGAGGTCGAGGATTTCGTATTATTTCAATACATTTGGTTCGTATGACTTTTAATGTTAAACAGAAGTCTAAATTAATATTCATTTGAATCAGTCTGGGAGGTTTTATTCTCCGCACCAGGATTTCGTTTCTCGTGTCTCAGGTGCTGAGCGTCTTTGCCAACAGCAGCAGAAAGCGACGTCTTTAATGTCACGTCTGACCGAAGGGCTGCAGAAATGTCAGGCGGCCGGCGGCTATAAAACACGCGACCTTCATGCCTGCAAGATTCTGGAAGGGATTTGTCAGCGGTTTGGGCACGACCTTTGACCTTTACATACATGTGCTTGTAGAAAGACAGAGTTGGATATTTACTCTCCAAACTGTGCCTTTCTCTAACATAAAAAAACTGACATAATAACCAATAAAAATACAAAAAAAGAAGGAAATATTCGTGTTAGCCAGCATTTGTGGGTTTTTTTGGTGCTTATTTTAGAAAACAGAGAAATTCCTGCAGCATTTTGTGCAACGTTATCAGTTGCATGCATCATTTCTATAAATGTCATTGTATTTTCAGCATCTTGCACTAATTTATGTTCTTATGAATGTGCATGTAAACATGTATTTGCATAAGACTCCTCGCACAAACAGGAGTTGGTAGTTCATTGTGGTTTTTTTAGTGTTGCAAAGACAAACAATAATGTGTAAATGCTTTTAAATGACTTGAAGATGCAGAATTAGCTTTGCAAAATTATAAAAAAATGGCACAAATTAAACTAAAATGCACGTCTATGGATATTTAAGTTGGAGGTAAAATATCTAATTATCTTTAAATGCGCATTTGTGTCAAATTATTGTTTTAAAAATGCAAATCTGCTTTGAAAAACGGCACTTTTTCTGGATTTTTCCTGTCAAAAATCCCAAAAAATGAAATAAAATAATTATAGAAGCTCCAGTCCAGCAGCAGTAACTTAATTTCCAGTCATTTCTTTATTAAAGCATGGACAATGACAGCTCACCGTGAGAACACAACAGACCGTGAGAGGGTCTGAACCACTATGTGACTAATATGTGTTAGAAGGAACAACCTAAACATGGCGGATCATCTCGTATCAAAACGCATCTATACAAGCTGAGGAGTGTAAAATAAGGCTGCTCACCTGCTGAACACATCGTTTGTTCCGCTCACAGTCCATCACTTTGGCCTGACGGGCAGCTCCACTCACAATGTAAACAATAATAATAATAATAATAATGATGTAAAAAAAAAAAAAATCAACGTTTTTCAGTCTCGCAGTGAAACTAGGGAAAGAGATCAGCATGCTTACAGGTTAAGTGGCCACAATTCTTGAAACGAATTGCTTCTGCTTCTTAAAAACGTGATTTACCGGCTCAGTATTAGTTTTAAAAATGTTCTCTCAAAGCCCGAATAGTCAGAAAGGGATGCTGGGATTGAAGCAAAAGAGGCGCCGCCGCTGAGAAAACCGCAGAAAAGCGTCCCCGTGAGCGGCTCTAAAAGGGCAGCGTGTCGAGGAATAACTTATCTATGATTGCAGGCGGCGGCACCAGATCCTCCAGCTTCAGGTAGAAAATCCTCTGCAGGCCCTGGATGCACAGAGTGCGCAGTTCGGGCAGCTTCTCCAGCAGCCTGGACAGGTGGTTGGACCAGCAGCCGGAGCCTCCGTCCGTCGAGCCGCCGTCCTTCAGGCATCGGACCACGTTGTTCTGCAGGTCCTCCACCTTCTTGGGCTCCTTCAGGCCGTGACGCTCTGCAGGGCAGCAAACCACATTTCAACATATCAGAGGAGTTTCACAAAGAAAGGCATCACTGGTGGGGAAATAACACTGTAAATATACTGCAGGGGGGAGATACTCCAGTCATTTAAAGGTTGCTATTTTCAAATAGTAGCAAATCTGTGATAGCTGTTTTACATTAGGCTAATTATGTCAATCATTTATCCCAAAAATTACATCTAAAAATGTATTATATTCCGACTAACAATTCCTAAGCCCTTCACAACTCTTTTGCCAAACATTTCTCTTTCATTTTTTCTAATTATTCCAACCTTTAGCTAACTAATCCTACCGCTTATCCGTTGCTAACTGTCTCAGCTAGTTAGCTATTATGTTTAGCCAAATTCATCAACAGTTTATCCCTTAAAATTGTATATAAATTTTTTTTTTTTTTATCTTCTAACCATTTCAAACCTTTGTAGAACCCAATTTCCAACCATTTATCGATTACTTTTAGCAAATTATTCCAACCAGTTACGTTTGACTAACCATTTTATACGTTAGCGAAATTGTTTAGCTAAATACATTAACCGTTTATTGAATAAACTGTATATTACATTTTTTTTCCCCTAAATAACATTTTTAAGCCTTTGCACAACTGCTTTTCCAACATTTTATCAATAACTTTCATCAAATTGTTCCAACCAGTTGCCCTTAGCTAACCGTTTCATCAGTTTATCCTTTGCTAGCTGTCTCAGCCAGTTAGCTAATTTGACTAGCTTATCACATCAACCATTTATGACAAAATAATACAGATTTCTTATTTTCAAACATTTCCAAGCATTTGCACAACTTTTTTCCCTAAAGTTTATCTTTTCAATTTTGCTTCCAACTGGTAACTTTTAGCTTTTAACTTTTTTTAAACTTTTAGCCAATTAGCTATTTAATTTAGCCAAATACATCAATCATTTATCACATAAATAGTATATGTAAGGATTTTTTTTTTTGCAATTTATATTGTCGATCATTTGTACGACCCTTTTTCCAACTGCTTTTTGCTAATTATTGACTTTAAGCTAACCATTGAAACATTGCTAACAGTCTCAGCTAGTTAGCTATTATGTTCATCCAAATACATCAGTCATCTGACTTACAATTCTAACCTTTGCACAACCCTTTTCCCACTTTTTTTTTTTTCTAATTTTTCCACCTGATTACTTCAGGCTAACCATTTCAACCAATTATAAATTGCTAATTGTCTCAGCCTGTTGGCTATTACGTTTAGCTAAATACATCAATTATAATAACATTTAGCTCCAATGTGTCCAGCATTGTCTCCATCCCTAAATGTCACAGAAAAAGTTATGTTTTCTCACTTAAAGCTGTATCTCTTTGCATAATTCTCTGCATTTTCTAATATAAACTACAGGTAAGTGATTTTTTGCATACTCGTTTTCTAGATATTTAACCAAAACAAACCTTGAATTGGAAAATTCCAATGCAGAGAGCCTTGAACTTTGCTCAGGCGTTAATCAGGGGATGACTTTCACCAATTACAAGTGTAAGATGCTTTTTGCATGTCTCACCGGTGACCAGGGCGAGGGTGCATATGCAGGAGAAGGTGGAGACGTCCAGGTTCATCCTCTGCAGATTGGCGGAGAATTCGACGATGCTGTCGATCCACTCGCCGAAGCCTCGGAGGCACTGCAGCCGGTGCCACACCGAGCCGTCACAGAAGATCAGCTTCCCTTCCTCTGGGTTCGACCTGAAACGTTACGACAGCTCGAGGTAAAAGTATGAAGCTGAGAGGACGAGCTGAGTGTAAACTGCCTGGTTACACCTTGAGGATGCTGCAGAGAAGTCGGTCTAGCATCCACATTTCAAAATGGGGAAAAAAATGCTTCTACTGGAGCTTCTTTAGCTGGTAATCAGTCTTTTATTAGTGCTAAAGAACATTTTGACTGTAAATCTTTTATCAATTTACTGTTAATTTACAGAATTTCTTGTTAAATTACACACATAACTAGTAAAATCACAAAAAATAGTACACCTTTACATGTAAACTCTAAAAAAATAAAACTAATGTCAATAATTTATCAAGAATTTGACTATAAAATTATACTTTTTCTTGTTTGTTTTTTACTGCATTTAAATCAGCAGAAAATCTCTGAATTTGTGAGATATTAGGGATTGAAAAATTATTATTGTTGTTGTTGTTGTTGAACCAGATTTTCCCTGTTTTGGTAAATTGTAAATAATATCCAGTAAAATCACAGAAAAATCTGTGTTATTGCAAATATTAATTAGTTCTTTTACAATGTGTGACCATAAAATCAAAGTTTTACTGTATTTAAATCACCAAAAAAACATTGTTTTCCATATATTTGCTGTTTTATGAAAATTGTACATATTAAAGGCTAAAAGATGTCAAGAAATAACTCTCATTGTGGAGATATTCCAAATTTCTTTTTGAATTACAAATAATATTTTGTAAAATACCAGAAGAAAAATATTATTTACATGTTTACTGTAAAAAAAAAAAAAAAAAAAAGGCCCAAACTGTAAATAATGTGAAAAATCAATCAGAAATAGTCATTTGTGTCTGAACGATGTTTGTCTGTGAAATTACAGTTTTAAAAACAACAAAAAATGAACATTATTTTCCAGATATTTGCTGTTATTTGAAAGAAAAATGATGTATTTTAGGGATTAAAAAATTCTACATGACGGTTGTCAATTGGTATTTAATAGATTTTCTATTTTTTGGTAAATTAAAACTAATATCCAGTAAAATAACAGAAAAAAAACAATACTTATGTTCAACCTAAAAAAAATTTACATTTTGTTTTATTTATTTAATTATTTTAAATAAGGCGTAATTTACTGTCTTAAAACTGCATTTTGTTGTTTTACAATGTGTGAGTATAAAGTGACACTTTTGTTGTATTTAAATGAGCTACAAATATCATTATTTTACAGACATTTCCAGTTATTTTACTATTTTTGCAGAATCCAGTCATTATTCAACCTGATTATTCGACACCCTGCCTGCTTGATCTTCACTATGTTGTCCTGGATGTTTTCTTTTACAGTGTACCTTCGTGCTGTTCATCTCTCTGGACCTGGTGAAAGCTGAGTTGTTTACCTGTACGACAGTCTGAGGACGAAGAGCTCCAGGAAGGCCGAGTAGAAGAGCAGGTCCTGGTCGTGTTTTGGGAGGGAGGTGAATCCGGGGATCTTCTGCGTCCAGCCTCGAATCACCTCCATCGATCTGGTCAGCAGCTCGTAGAACTGCCGGACGTGCTGCGCGTCGTCCGCCGGCGGACTCTCTGGACTCTGCTTGAACTGCGTTTAAAGGTCAGGTTGGAGATGAAGGCCGAAGCCGCAGCTACAGCTCTGTCATGTGCATGATGTGGCGTTTTCTTACTCTGGAGTAGTCGAGGCGAGACGGCGGAGGGTTGGACTCCACGTGGGCCCTGATGAGGGCGCCGAGGAGGCTGCTGCCGGCCGGAGACGAGTCCGGGGGAGCTCTGGGTTTGGACGGGAGGCGACCTCTCCGACCCTTCAGACCGTCGGTCCTCACAACTGCAGGGGAAACATGAAGGAGGAGAAACGGCCCAGGTAGGACTGAACAGGTCGTCCTTTAAGCAGCGACTCTGGGATGTTGCATCATTTTGCTGACAGTTGCAAAAAGAAAACTTGATCAATTTAATCGATTAAAATTTGAGCCTGAATGTCAACAAACTCTGTCTTTAAATAAAAAATGCAAATTAGAGGAAATATCGTTTAGAGTTGCCACAAAAAAAACAGATAATATTCACGTTTAACAAGCTGGAATTTGAGAATTTAGATTTTATTTGTCTTTAAAAAAGTGACAATTGCTTATCAATATAATTGGCGATTGTTGTTGTAGCTGACAACTAATCAATTCATCAATTAATCTTGCAGCTTCGTTGTACTTCTCATTGCTTCTCTCCTGTTTGTTGCTCTTTTTTTTTGTGCACATGTGAACAAAAAATGAAGCTGGAATCAAAAAGAGACAAAAGTTATCAATTGATTTTAGAATTATTTGGCGACTGATCGATATTTTGTTGAAGCCAGATGTGCAGCCGAGTCTTCTAAAAAAAGAAAATTTAAAAAATTATGAGAAATATCCGTCAGAGTTTCCACCACAAAGAAACTTTATTTGTCATAGAGGAGAAAAAAAATAAAAACTACTATGATTTAAGAAGCTGGAATCAGAAAACTTTTTTTTTTCTTGAAAATGACTCAAATCAATTAACAAGTAGTTTAATTAATCACTTTGAGTCATTTTTTTAGGTTTAGAAACAACCCATCTGATTAACAAATATGTTTAATTTCAGTTTTTTCTTTCACATGTGGGACATGACGGACAAACAGGAGAGAAACACTGAGGAGGGAGATTGTTCTGCAAGATTAATCGATTAATCAATTAGTTGACGTTAATCACCAGCTGTCATCATAATCAGCCGGAGTCCTTTTTTAAGAGAAAAAAAACATCCAAACTTTCAAATCCCAGCTTCTTAAATCTGAATATTTTCTGTTTTCTTTGCTCCTCAGTGACAACAAACAGAAAATGTCGATATTTCCTCCAATTTTGATTCTTTCCAGCTTAATTCTCTCGACTAGTTTCCTTCGTTTACGTCTTGGATTCACTGGATTTTATCATTTTAACTCCATTTAAAAGACACAGAGTTTGTTGCGCGGCAGCTTCATCGTCGTTTCTCACCGGTTTCATTGTGAAAGAAACCAGAGCATGTTCACATTCAAGAAGCTGGAATCAGAAAACTTTTTTCACAACATCCCTGCTGAGAGACAGATGGTTGGTGCGACGCTGCGTCCGTTTACCTTCCTTGACCATCCCCACGGCGAGGCACTTCTGGAAGCGACAGTACTGGCATCGGTTCCTCCTGCGTTTGTCCACCGGGCAGCTTTTGGCGGCCAGACACACATACTTGGCATTTTTCTGCACCGTACGCTGCACGGAGAGGAGAAGAAAATCTGATGTTAGTCAATGCAAGGTGAGACGATCCTTTATTCATCTCACAGAGGAGACATTTGCAGTGCTGCAGCGGTAAAGGGAACGATGCAAAAACTCGTGTTAAACTGATTCTTCTGGATCCTGCACAGAGTCCTCTGAATGTGCAAAAACAACAATATTGCAAAAGGTTGTTCTGCATGTAAAGACATCCTGATGTTGCACAGATTTGAGCAGAAAATACAGATGTTATAAGTCTATTAAATGCACAAAACACACATTAGAATTCACCTGCAGGTTCGCGCATATCAGGAGCAAACGTTAATGTGGAATGAAATCAGTTCTGAACCTCCTCTTGTCTGTTTAATACGATGAAAACGCTTCATTTTTGAGGCTCATTTTAGCTGTAAATGGTCTCAGAAATGTGTTAAAACTCCAAAGATACACACAATACCTGAATATCCTTCCACACTGGTTCTCTGCTGCTCTCTGTTTACCAGTAGTTGGTGTGGAGTTGTTCTCAAACGGTTCTCTATGTGGCTGAAAACCTTTTTGTCAGCATAAAATCATCAAGACCTGATCTTGACGAAGGTTCAACCTTTTTTTGGGGACGTTTTTTTATGAAGAGCAAAGCGACAAAAGCCTCAAATTGTTCTCTGGAAATGAGCAGCGGCGCTCCGGCTCCTCAGAGGCCGAATCAGGCATTCAGCAGACGGACGCTCAGTCTGGGTAAATACAGCAACGTGGTCATTCATAATTCGGAGCGTGGCCCTCGGGAATCTCCCTCCGAGAGGTGAAGGAGGGGGGGGAGGTTTGATTCGCGGCACGTCGCCGGACATTTTTCATACAGGACATTTGAAACGTGTCAAGAGATCAAGAGATCAGAACGTGCACGTGGAGTTTAATGTCCGATTTAGAGGCTGGTCAGGGTCCCGGCGGGGCGTCGAATTATCAGCGGTTAGTAGAAATTAGAGCTGCACGGTGGGGCAGAGTGGCCACACCAGGCTTCATCCGCTTAGAATTCATTGTTACATCAACTTTGGTGCCAAGTGCACAAATCTCAGAATCCTTTTTTATTCTTTAAATACCTTAAATATATTTTTTAAATCACAAAACATTTACTTCAGACATGTATTGCCACATAATTAATCAACTTAATTTACTACACTGTAAAAAACAATCTGCACAAATAAACTGTGAAAAGGGTGCCAGAAGAAATCCGTTAATAAATGAAGTTGAAGAAACTATAAATATATCTGCTAAAAACTGCTAATTGAAGATGTGAGTGTCATATTTAATGGTATATAATTATTACGTTGGCCACAGACACTGGACATAAATGACGTTTGTCCAACACATGTGCAACAACCTTTTTTAAAATTGCTTCAAAAAAGCAAAAAACAAACAGAAAGAAAAACTAAACAGTGAAAATGATGGCAAATATTTATAAAATTATGATATTTTTAGAAGTTTTAAATACAGTAAAACAATTTGCAAAAATACAGGAGCTGGAAGTGTTTCATCCTGAATGTGAATATTTTTTTCTTTTTAATACCAACAAATATCTGCAAATGATAAGATGAGATTTAATGCTGATGCTGAACTGTCAAACATAAAGGACAGAATGACCCTTTAGAACATCTTTTCCAGATGTTAGATGTGAACATGATGTACAGTTTTAGCCAGGTTTTTTTTTTTTTACAGCCCAGAAATAAGTTGAATCACTAAATGATGTTGACTCAACACGAGAACAACGAGCTGCACCAACAGAGCTGCTTCATGCTGAGAGAAAGTTTATTAATCGTGTGGAAACTGTTTGGCTTCTTTATTAGTTTGGATATAATACATGTGAAGTTGTTGAATGTCAGAATGATTGATTCATGTTCACATTGGAAACAGAATGATAAAGTCCCTGCTGCACTCCTGACACTTCAGCAGGCAGCCGGTCGTCTCCTGCTGACCGTGATGAAGGTGCAAAAACTGTGAAGTAGTAATTTTTTAAAACAGCTTTTAACTTCTTTTTTTTTTTTTACTTTACAGATTTTTACTGTTTTGTTAAATTGCAGAAAATATCTTTAAGCAAAAAAAGCAAAATTCAAAGTATTGATTTACATGTTAACTATAACAAATAAGTCAAACCTGTAAATGAAGTCCACATCAGGAATCTGTGGATCTGACCATAAAACGACAGTTTACTGCAATTCACTGACTTAAAACCTTATATCTTATCTTATCTTATCTTAATTATGTTATTTCATTGTATTATATCATATTATGTTGTGTTTAAATTATCTATAATAAGCATTTCTTAATGGTGAATTTTTATTATTATTTTATAGTTGTTTTTTTTTGTTGTTGCCTGTTTTGTTACAGATGTCCAGTAAATCACAGAAAATGTCTGAATTTACTTGTTGACTGCAAACATAAAAAACAAACCGACCAAACCTGATGATAATGTCCACATTAGAACTATTTTAATGGTAATTTTATACAAAACTCCAGTCTCCTGTATTTAAATTACCTTAAAACAGCATTATTTTGCAGATATTTGATGTGATTCCTGCTGCTTTGCTGTCTACTCAGATTTTTTATTTTTTATTTTTTTGCACTCTCTGTATGATTAAAATGCTCCACATCTGCAGCAGTCAGACAGACAACAGACCTTGAAGAAGCCTTTGCAGCCCTCACAGGTCCGGACTCCGTAGTGCTGACAGGCTGCGTTGTCCCCGCACACCGCGCACAGCCCCTCCGGGCTCAGCGCTCCTCTGCCCGGCGCCCCGGAACTCTGGTACTCCACAAAGTGGTGGCCGTGGGCGAGCTGCAGGGGGTGAGGGAACCCGACCCCGGGCTGCTTCCCCAGACCCGGGCTGTCCAGCGGCTGGTGCGCTCCTCCCGCGTCCAGGTTCATGGACACGTGGAGGGATCCGTCAAACTTCACCTGGCAGGCGGACAAACTCTGAGCTCCCTGCTGCGCATGTTTGAGGGAAAAGAGCGAGAACCTGGACAGCGCGTTTTTCCTGTGCGCCGCAGCCGCCAAGTAGTCCTGCCGGAAGCTGTACAGAGAGCCGGAGTCCTCCCACATGTGTCCCGGCGGGGTCTGGAAGTTGGGTGTGATGGAGGAGTGCGGGGAGGGAGAGCGGTAATAGTACACGGAGCTCGGGGAGGAGAGCAGCTCGTCCTGCGGGTGATGCTGGCTCGGCTGGTACCGCGGACACCCGTGAGCGTCCTCCACCTTTACGCACGGCAGCTCCGCTTGAACGGGCATCTGGAAGAGACACGGCGGCTTCACGTCGTACCCGGAGCCGTAGGTGTCCGCCAAGGGGCCGAAGCCGGAGCCCGACGCCGCCGCGGACATCTCGCTGTTGGTCAGATCCATGCTGAACTTGACAAACTCCGGCGTGAGGAAGTCGCAGCTGCGCTCTCCGCCGGCGCTCTGGGAGGCTGGACTGGCTCCCTGCGGAGAGGAGCCGCACTGGGTCTGGACGCACGGCATGGCCACTGCCAAACCAACGAAATATCACACAGAGTGGAGTTTTTAAAAAAGTGATAAAACGTGCAAATGTGAGAACTTTGTTTTCAAGTCTTTTTTCATGCTGTTGGTAATTTCTCTCTCAGTTGCCAGTCGCCTGATATTCCACCTGTTGGAAGATATTTTTGCACCAAAAAACAGGAATTTACCTGAATTCTCTTAATCTCCACAAGCTGGTACCGTCCTCTAAACGCTACCTGGTGTGAGACAAAAAAAACCAAAAAGCTTCACACACATGAATTTGTGGATTTCTTGATAAATTATGAAAATAAAAGCGGAATGTTTGGTACCTTAGGCGTCCATCCAGCGCAGCAGCTCGGTGATATTTAATCCCATGTCTGCGGTTTCAGCTGCTGTTGGAGGAAAAGTCCGCTCGCTGTGTGGACAGAGCAAAGGAAATGACTGTTCACTTCACCCACTCGTGGCTCTCAGACTGAGCTGCCACCGACACCGACAATGTGCTTTTGTTTACGCGCTGCGCTCCCGTGTGCCAAACCCTGTTACGCACAAGCCCCAGAGGGTGGCGCGGAGCGTGTGTGGGCGCACAGAGCGACTCCTTCAATTTGGAAATAATGCTGCTGGCCCACTTTCCTGCAGCTCATATCTGAAGTGTTTTATTGTCTTTTTGTGGGTGATAGGAGCTTGGACGTCATCTTTTTAACTTTCCTCTGAGCTAAACCCAGTCTGTAGACGTCGTGCAGACTTCACTTGTGCGCAGTGAAATGAGCAGGAACAAAAGGAAATCTGGTTGCATGTTTCAGCTGCTGAAAATATGATGGTGACCAAAAACAGGAACTTTGTCTGACAGTCCTTCCCCAATTGTAATAAACAGCTGTAAACAACAAAAAACAAAACAGTAATACTTTGGCAGCTGGTCCTTCAAAACACTGTAAAGTAACCAAAAAAAAAAAAGCAATTTTCCACAACTAAAATACATTTTCTATAATTTTACAGGAGACTGTGTATTTTCCTGCTTTTTAAAAAAAAGTTGAATCCAGAATCTTTACATGTATAAAGACTTTGAAATTAGTCATAATATATAATAACCATATAATTATGTAAAATTGGATAGATGTAATTATATATGATAGAGACACTTGTCCTTGTTCTTACATGTAATATATATATATTATTTTATATATACTAATATTATTTTTGTTCAATTACACATCATATATATTATATATTACATATCTGTGGTGGTGTGAGTGTGCTTGGTTGTCTGTCTCTAAGTGTAGCCCTGTGATAGACTGGTGACCAGTCCAGGGTGTCCCCTGCCTTCACCCTGAGTCAGCTGGGATAGACTCCAGCCCCCCCATGACCCTAGTGAGGATTAAGCAGTGTATAGATAATGGATGGATGGATATCTGTGGTGGTCTCCTAAGTTAGCAGCTAACTGTTAGCGTTACCAAATCACTCAAATCAAATCAAGTTTATTGTCATTTTGCTGTACATACACAGTAGTACAGGCAAGATGAGAGCATTTCTTCAGGATCATTTAATTAGTAAGTTTTGCAGAATGAACGTCTGGGATGAGACACTAAACGTTCACTCTCTCTGTCTCCTGAAGGGGGCGCTGTGTCCATGCGCGCCGCCATTCGTTGAACATGGAGAACCTCTTCAGGTCCTGGTAGGTCTTCAGGGACACAAAGACACACGATGGTGTGACGATGGTGAAGGTGCAGATGCTGCCCAGAGCTAGCTGTCTGTCTGTC